TCAGTATAAAGAAGGGCAAAAATTACTTGTTTCATTTCACGGTCCAAGCCGAGAAAAAGAAAATATAGAAAGTAAACACTACAGTGGCGTGAAGAAAAAGCTTTTTAAATAAGTTTTATTTCACTGGGTAACCATAATGCTATAGTTTTACTGTGTTTGTCTTTAAAAAGAAATTATTTGAGGTCATCTGGAAACCTGCTAGCATAGTATGCGAAGAATACAAAAAAATGGAATTGTTTCAGAACACGGCACAGGATTGCACTATAGGATTTAGGGTAGGGATGTTAAAAAGTGGGTAATGGGGTAACCATGTAACCTCAGAAAATCTCAGCAGTTACACGTTGCAGGCTCTTCAGTATAAAGCAGGGGTCTCCCAACCTTTTAAAGCACAAGATCATTTTTTGAATTTTAAGTGCAATCCAAGATCTACCTCAAACCCAAATGCCCTTGCTGGGCCTGCTTTGTGCCCCTTCTCCGGAGGCCCTTCCCTGCTCACCCTATTAACTCCATCCTCCCTCCCTTTCCTCAAGCAGCAGCAGAGAGGCTCTGCCCTTAGGCTAAAGGATTTGGAGTGACAGAGGAGCTCTGAGCCGAGCCCGGGGTTGAGGTGCAGGAGGGGGTTCAGGCTCTGGGAGGGAGTTTAGGTCCAGGGGGTTCAGGGCTAGGTCAGGGGCTTGGAGTGCAGAAAGGGGTTCATGACTGGGGCAAGACTTTGGGATTCTGGCTCCAGCTGGGCTTTGCTGACCTCAGGTGGCTCCTGAGTGGGGGTGCAGGTAGCTAAGGCAGGCTCACCTCTGCCCTGGCCCTGCACCACTCTCAAAAGCAGCCAGCAAGCTCCCTCCATCCCAATCCCTGTTGTGCCCCCACCCCTGTTCTGTGGAGATAGGATACAGAGTTGAAGAGTGGGCATCCTGACATTAACACCCCCCCCTTTCCCTTCTCTGCACAGCAAGCAGGAGGCTCACAGTGGGGGTGGGAGGGCACATCTGCAAGGTAAAGGGCAAGAGTTGTGCAGCAGTGGAGGGAGGGGCAGCTGAAGTTTGGCCCTTGATAGCCTCTTGGCCAAACCCATCAGGATCCTGTCAGAGGCTCCAAGATCCAACCAGTAGATTGGGATCTACTGGTGGTGACCACTGGTATAAAGTGTATAATGAAGAGCTTGAAGTACAGCCAGCTCCCCAAGAGCAGAGCCATCTTCGCTGTGGGCTCTGCAGTATAAAAGGTTATATTTCAGAGACTGTAGCATGGCGCAGCAGCCACTCACTCCCTGGGAGCCGTCTGCTGCCCTGCGCTGTACACTTGGATACAGAGCCAGCAGTGTGAGGTGGCAGCCAGCTCCCTGGGAGCAAGGCAGGAGCTTGCATATAATTAATCATAAGCCTGAGCTTATCAATCATTTAAACAGTTACACTATTACAGCAGTCGTTTGGTACCCTTGGGGTCACTTAGCTTTGAGAAACTAGGCATATTAGCTACTCCCAGCCCTATTCCCCCTACCTTTTTAAAAAATGTGTATATATTGATTGTCAGCTGCCGTGTAGGTGGCAAAAGTGGTAATCTATTTCAAGTGGGTGTTCAAGAAATCAAAGTTCAGAGACTAACATTGTTAAAAGACTATTATGGTTGCAAAGGCAATCACTCAATACTCAGTAAGTACCATAATTAAGGTTTCTGGTATAACTAATTCTGCTCCCTTATATGCATTATGAAAATTCAGATATTTGATCTCCCCCCCCCATAAGGCCTCTGCATCCTTATTCAGTGCACAAAATGGATGACGCTCAGGGGACAAATCAGATTTGTGTAATAAGCAGGGCAGTCATTTCTTACTTCATTGACATCTTCAATCTGCAGTAAATCTCTAGTACAATCAAGAGGCTCCCAGGAGACTTCTCTGGAAGCCCTTATAGGTAATGTCTAAACTACAAGATGCCCATAGCTGCCTTATGTCAGTTGGTGCTCAGACTACAGCAGTGTAGATATTCAGGCTTGGCCTGGAGGTCATGTTCTGAAACCCTACAAAATGGGTCACAGTTCAGGCTCCAGCCTGAGCACTTATACTAAAACTTTATAGGCCCACAGCTTGAGCCCCACAAGCCCAAATCAGCTGAAATGAGCCAACTGCAAAGGCTCCTGGAGTAATGGCCAGCTATCTTATATCATTCTACACCATCTATATGTATCTATTATTAACGATCTAGGGTAGGTGAAGACATAATCTGAGGAGATCAAAGGAGAGTGATAACCAACTCTGTACATAAGCTGAAGTAGTTGGTGGGTGCATTCCCTTACATGCAGTATGCCAATGTCATCTTTACAGGAGATCTCTTATACATGCCCCCAAAAGATGCAGTTTTTCAAGGCAGACTTGCAGTTTGACCAAGACAATCACACCCCACTGGGGGGGGAGGGGGAGAGGAAGAAGAATACAAGCCCCCAAAAAAACATCTAGCATGACAGTGTCACTGGAAGGGCTGTGGGACTTACAAAACACCATTGTATAAGGAGCATGAAGGAATGGAAGAGACACAGGGTCATGAAGCAAGGGAAGAGATGCAGGGTCAGTTGCTGTGCAGCTGGGGGCGGGAGGAAGGCATTCCAGTTGGCAGCCATGTGGAGTAATAAATTGTTCTAGCACAGCTGGGAGAGGAAGGGTGGTAAGCTGCTGTGTACTGCAGCTCAGAGGAGGAGAGGCAGCAGCTTGGAAAATTGTTCTCACAGCTGGGGTGGTGGGGCAGCAGCACTGCAGGGCGACTAGAGATTCTATTTCTGAGAGCTGCCTAAGCCCTGCCTGGGTCTGCGTTTTATCCTAACGGAGCACTGATGTACACAGAGATCAACACAATCTTGCTCGGAGATGGTGTCAAAGCTTTGTCGGATGTACTTATTCATTAATCGCAGGGTTGCCATTTCCCCAGCATCATGGTACAACACTCTCCCAAACCATTCCTCATACTGTGCTGCCAGAATCAAGGTGGCACAGAGCCTGGGTGCGTAAGCAGCAGGGTGCCACCCGCTTTCATGGAAAAGCTGGCCCGGGTTTGCCTATTGGACTTCAGCAGGGATGTCAGCCACAGTAGTGTCTGTCTAGGAACAAGTGTAGGATTATTACTAATTGTCTCCATGTATACCTGCTGCACAAGCACAGGTTGTACTTTCTTGGGGACCTATGCCCCAAACCTCCTTTCCTCCCTTCACCACCACCTTTAAATCTCACCATGATCAGAGGGTCTGGAAAGGTCTGTATTTGCCTCTAGGGCAACAAGAAAAGTAGCAAGTTTTTTTTAGAGATGTGCATGTTAGTGAAATGTTACAAACTTCATCTTAAAAAGTACAGTCATTCCATTAGTAATGGTTACTTTTCCAGAATGGACCTTGAAAAAAAAAAAAAAGTCAGGCACGTTCACCAGACAGACTCCATCGACAAAGGAAAAAACCACGGAAGATGAAGGAGAATCTGGTCAAGGATGTGTTATATGAGTCAACATTCAAATAGAGAAAAGGAAGCAAAGAAGAGCTATGGAGATGGGAATGAAAAACCACTGAGCACATGCTCAGTCTCATGGAAAACCAAAATGAGATGCCGAAGTGTCTTAAGATGCAGAATGAACAGAACCAAAGGCCTCCCTGTCAGCACATGCAGCATTCTTTTCACAGGAACCCGGCCTCCATGCCTACACACTCATTTTCAAACAGATGATTTTTTTTTCAAAATACACTCCAGTCTCTCTGAAAGTAGCTGTGACTGACAGTTGGACGTTAACACCATTATGAGGTTTTCCAATAACTGTTACCACAGAGCATCCTGATTGAAAGACATCAATGAGGAACAATGCCATGTAGGTTTCCATGAATTTATTTTGTGAAACACAACCCATACCAATAGCTCTGGCCCCTTAGGAAGCCTGAACTATCCTTTGGGTTTCATGGGAATGCCTCACTCAGGATGAGCAAAGGGATGAGGCAACCCCAACACGCAGAAATGTCAGTGCCCCTCTTTGTCAAAGTGATTCCTCAGAGCCTCCCTGACATGGACATGAGTGTCCAGCTGTTCAAACTGTGTGTCCAGATGCTGTCTCATTGTTCCACGCATGGCCAAACACTTCACCCTTACTCTCACACAAATTAAGCAACAGCACGGGGCTACCACATTGGCGATATGCATCAGCTAACCTGTTGAACCCGTTCCTTACTGCTGTCCAGGTGCACCATGTAATGCTTCATGAGTTGGGGCTGTAAGGGGTAAGCCACATCACCTAAGATCCGTATGGGCATTTCTACATTTCCCCTCCCCCCCTAATTTTCTGGACTAGAGAGAAAGTCCTAGCATGCAGCTTTCTGTACAGGCAATTGTTCCTGAAGATGCATTATGTACTTTTCCAGACTAGGCCACAAATGCCCACAGTGATCCAGAAGAGCCTGAAGCACCATGGAGAAGTTCCCCTTATGATTGATATACTCTAAGTCAAGGTGAGGTGATGCTACAATGGGCATACATGCACCATCAATTACTCCACAGTT